TGAGGGCTGAATTTAAGGCATTTTTAGACATGCACCTTTTTTCAGGAATCTACTAAAAAAGGATCCATAAAAACAAAGGAAAATACCAAGATGGGCAGAAGATTTGTGACCAAGCATATTAGTTCTAACTCAGGAGAATGGTGAAGTGAATCCCTGACAATGATGAACGGTTCTCTCCGCAAGGTGCACGGAACATCAAGAGAATCTTGTCCAGACAATCCAGGTTAGAAGACTCTAGAAAATGACCCCAGAAAGATGGCATAGATGGACTATGTGATACATGTAAATATAACAGGAAGATATTTGAGAATTTTAGAGATAAATTGGTGATAATTTTATAGAAAACAAAACAAAGAACACAAAATATTCAGCATAACAAAGTATATACCATGAGAAAAGCAATCAGAGTAGACAATATGCCTTAGGGGTGAATCAACTTTATATGACCTAATCATGAAATTACTGAATGTATGACTGGAATGAATTTTGATGTATATATGAAGGGACAGAAGCTATTGTAAATGGAAGGGGTACAGTGGTGGTTAAGATGCCTTCAGGTGGCTAGATGCCTTCAGGCCACACAATGGATAAAACTTTAAAACATCAAGATAAAAGAAAATCCCAGCAGTTCCAGAGGCTGAGGTAGGAGGATTGAAAATTCAAAGCCAGCCTCAGCAACTTAGTGAGGCCTGAAGCAACTTGACAAGACCCCGTCTCAAAATGAAAAAAATATTTAAAAAGTAGGAATGTGGCTTAGTGATTAAGTGCCCCTGGGTTAATCCCTATTACCAAAAAAGAAAGAAAGAGAGAGAGAGAGAGAGAGAGAGAGAGAGAGAGAGAGAGAGAGAGAGAGGGAGAGAGGGGAGAGAGAGAAAGAAAGAAAGGAAGAAAGGAAGAAAGGAAGAAAGAAAGAAAGAAAGACCCAATATTACTTAGAGGGAAATTTTTGAAAGTCAAGAAAGTTGAAAAGTTGTTTTGAAGGAACTGAAATCAGATACACTGGGGAGACAGAGAACTATTGTTTGCTCTAACCATGTGTATAACTTGATCCAGCTAAAGCACCAAATATTTTAAAAGATACCATTTTTCTTCACAATGTATCCAGGGAGTCTAAGTTTAGGAAAGGTTTGATGGTATATGATCCAATTAAGTGGCAAACAGAAACGCCTTTAAAGATATCTGGTTGACTGCAATTTTTTGATCAGTGATATTATATTTGTGACTCTGTATTTAAGACCAGACTTTCCTTATGTGAATTTGATCAACATAGGCAAGCTCTATATATTTAAATTTTTTTGCATTGATCTGACTGAAAGGGAGTAAACCCACAAGAGCTGCAAGATTTTAAGCACCGACACAAACACATACAAACATTCAGTTTGTTCTAATTGGAAAATGCTACATGCAGCAGAAGTATCTACAATTCAAAGACGTCATGTAGAAATAAAATTGTCCATAGAGGTTGAGTGAAACTGTTTCCACAGCAGCCAACACAATGTTTGGTGTTGATGAAAGCATAGAAAATATTTGTTGAACAAATGAATTAATAAAATATAGCAAGCTGGTTTTTTGAACAGCTTACAGGATGATTCCCACATGCCAAAGCAAAACATTTGGTCACTTGCTTTCACTTCTCCTTTAAATCCACAAAGTAGCAAATAATTGGATAGTGTCAAATCCCTAAGGGACATAGGGATATATGCACAAAACTTCCATTCCATCAGGAGTCACACTTAGAACTTTACAATTTATAGCTCCACACACAAGTTAATACACTTTCTGTAATATGCTCAGTCTAGAAATGAAGACAGCAATAGCTTTTTTTGTAAGGGCACTTCAATCCCATGCTCCAGATAGATGTCCTGAACTGCTTCTGGTCCCTCATTTCTGCTCAGTCAGAATGACCCTGGCTTTATATGTTCTTTTCTTTACAACTGGGAATTCCATCCAAAAAGAAATCTCTACCACATAAAATATCTAAAAACCACCAATGTGGTAAGAAGCTGTTATAGCAGAGTGTTTTTTAGTTCTTTTTATTATTTTCAGGAGTGATGAGAAAGTTTGTAGGGTCTTGGAACACAATGGACAGCATTTAAACCAATTTAGTTAGAGTCTCAAAGACAAGGTGCCTCAGAGTGTACACACACACACACACGCACGCGCGCACACACACACACCCTCCAGAGTACGCATCAAAGGGCAATATGTATCTTTTGTTTTCCTATAAACAAATGTACTATTATAAAAGAAGAAAACCGTATCAGGTCTTTCCAAGTAAACTCAGTCAAATTATTGCTGTTATTTTATTATCAAATGCAGGCAATGTTAAGATTCTTCATTTCTCTATTCTTTAATCAAATGACATTTAATTCCAAAGAGAGCTTGTGCAGGAGCGTATGGAATGAGTGTGTGTGTGTGTACGGGTATATATGTGTGCTGGATTTACTTGGACCTGTTCAGTATGCATTGTTTTCTGATGGCATCAGTTGCTTTAAATTGTTTTGCCTATCTTTTGTAAATTAGCCCTTATGCGCAGTATTTCTGCTGCTACCTGAGGTCCTAACTTGGATTCAGGTTTCTTGAAGTTCTCTGGTGATCCCTCTACCACTTCCAAGTGCCCTCAGATCTGCACACTTTCAGCTGTAATGGTATTACTGAAAAGCGTGAGAGAAGCCCTAAGGAGTCTCTCATGCTTTCTCATGCCTGGGCTTATTTTATTTTATTCCTCCCTTGCCATTGCGCTGTGAAGCATATATGCACCAATGCTACTGCACTGTCTCAGATGGGAGCCAGGTACCACCTGCCTCTCTCCAAGTCTGTTATTTAGCTCACATTGACCAGAATGATCTTTTGAATTAATGGGACATCTCTTCTAATTGGCCAATGCTTGCAACTTTCTAATTGTTAAATACTTGGACTCCTGCCTGTTCTCCCAAATCTCCAAATGACAGGAAGCTCAGTCCCCATCCTTCCCTCCATACCTTGGTCTTTGAGGAAAAGCTAAAATTGCACACTCATGTTTCTCAGCTGCTTTTTCTTCAAAGTGACCCTTCTTCCCCAAGCCTCAGCAACCTTTATCTAGTCTCTAGGATACAGCAGTCTAGCTCTGTATCTATTCTCTTTCCATCCTATTCTTTGTGACACAAACTTTATGTGTTACTTCCTTTGGGGCTTGTCCGCTTGTAGCTCAAAAGAAACTGGATCTTGAATATCAATACCCTTGACTTTATAGATTACATGTGTGCAGTGAGGTTTAAATTGTATTTTTAGCGATTCAAAAGCTGAGCACTGACTGCTTATTTTCTTTTTGTGTTCTGGAATAAAACACTGCATCCTCTCTGAAGCAAAGCCTGCAGCTAACTGAATAGGAAAGGAGCTTAGGGAACCCTGGTTCACATCTCCAAATCTTATCCCTCCACACAAATTCTAATGAGGAGCCTATCTAAACACTTCCTCCTGCAAACACAGAAGAAAGTCCAGAAATTACAGAGACTCAGTTGGCCATGGTAGCTTTCAATATCATATAAATGGTAGACCATTTTTTTGTGTAACAAGGATTATGGGAAAAAATTAAGTCAAGTTATATTTACAATTGAAAATGGGTTTCTTATGTAAACCAGTAAGGGATTTGTCAGGGGGATGGGTGGGTACTAGACATTGAATCCAGGGACACTCTTACTACTGAGTAAAGATGTGTCTTTAGCCCTTTTTATTTTTAATTTTGAGACAGGGTCTTACTAAGTTGCTGAGACTGGCCTCAAATTTGCAATTCTCCTGCCTCAGCTTTTTGAGAGGCTAGGATTACAAGTATGTGCCACCACACCCAGCCAATGAGGCATTTTTTTAATTGATAAAAAAATGACAGAAGAATGCATTACAATTCTTATTACATGTATACAGCACAATTTTTCATATCTCTGATTGTATATAAAGTAGGTTGACACCAATTCATATCTTCATACATGTACTTTGGATGATGATGTCTATCACATTCCACCATCCTTGCTAATCCCCTGCTCGCTTACTTTCCCTCCCACCCCTCTGCCCTAAAGTAAATCACTGGAATTCACTGATGTTCCTTTGGATAATTGAAATTTAATTTACAATACCAAATAGCAGACTTCATCTTGCTTGCCTCCCCTACTACACACCCTGACTGCCTCCTCTAAAATTTACACATAGCAACAGGATCTGGAACTCATCTTTGCTCACAACCTGACTTCAAAAAATGCAGACAAGAGAATGTCAGAGATTTGAAAAAAATGCATGAAGCTTAGGAAATTTACAAGGTTAGACCAGACTTGGAAATTAAGGATTCTAAAGTAAGAGATGGCATGTTTCTGAAATAAAGAGAAGAGTGGGACTTTAAAAGGAGAGCCAATTTAACAGAGGGATAGACTGTAAGAAGAAGAGAAGAGAGGTAAGGTCAGAAAAAACCAGGAACCACTTAAAATGACAGCTGCTAGAGATCTAGAGAATATTCCAAAGGGATCAAGTTTCTGGGCAATACCTTGGCTCTCTTCTCTAGGCCAAGAAAATAGGAGATTTAGACAAAGCCTTTATTTTCCAATCCTCCACTAAATTTATTCAGCATGTTTTGAATGTACCACCAGAAATATACATATGCTTATTCTGGGGATTAGGGGCCAAGGTGGTTCTTTAAAACAGGAAGGGAAGGGAGGGCTGGGGATGTGGCTCAAGCGATAGCACGCTCGCCTGGCATGCGTGCGGCCCAGGGTTCGATCCTCAGCACCACATACAAACAAAGATGTTGTGTCCGCCGAGAACTAAAATAAATAAATATTTTTAAGAAAAAGGAAGGGAAGGGGCTTCTTCCTCATTTCTCTGATCTCCAATTTTGCAAGGACGAGAGCAGAAGAGTTATGCCCGGATTGTCTTCACCATCATTGCTTTCTACTTCATGCCCTGCTGCCCCTTCACGGCCTCCTCCTTCTATCTGCTGAGTGGACTTCTGGACGCTTTTGATGGACATGCTCAATCAAGGAACCCGGTTTGGAGCCATGTGGGACATGCTGACGGACTGATGCTCTACCATGTGTCTGTTGGTCAACCTGGCCCTGCTGTACCCTTGAGCTACCCTTCTCTTCCAGATCAGCATGAGCTTGGATGTGGCCAGTCACTGGCTGCACCTCCACAGTTTTGTGGTCCGGGGTAGTGAGAGTCACAAGATGATCGACCTCTCTGGGAATCCAGTGCTTTGGATTTACTACACCTCCAGGCCTGCTCTGTTCACCCTGTGTGCGAGAAATGAGCTCTTCTGCTGCCTCCTCTACCTGTTCAATTTCTCCGAGGGACCGTTAGTTGGCTCTGTGGGGCTTTTCCGAATGGGTCTCTGGGTCACTGCCCCCATCGCTTTGCTCAAGTCCCTCATCAGTGTCATCCACCTGATCACAGCTGCCCACAACATGGCTGCCCTGGATGTGGCAGACTGTGCCAAGAAGAAGTGACCCTGACAACTTCTGGAACCTCCCACCTGATTGGTCATCTTACTGTGCCACATGGCTTCCCTTTCCCTCCTAGGAGGCCCATTCTCATATCTTCCTAATGTGTTCTCCAACGTGCTGGGATGGGGGTCAGCCTCTCTTTGGTATTGTCACAATCTCTGTAACCCTGAAGATTAGGCCCACCCTTGTGATCCCCAAAGACCTGGTCTACAAATCAAAAAGGATGCTCAGGAGGCCCTGTGGTACCAGGCAGCCTATTTGAGGATTATGCATAGCCACACATGTGGTTGGCTCAGCCCTGGCTTCTGGCCTGGCCTGAGGTTTTGGGGACACTTGAGAGAGATGATACAGGGGCCATGTTTCCCAAAAGGCAGGTGACTCAGATCTCTGCCCCCTGCCACAGGAAGCCTGGGGCACAGTGCCCAGGAGGAAAGGGGCCGTCTAGATCCTTCCTATGGCAGTCTCCTCCATCAGGTCTACCCTGACCTTGAAAGCCTTGATAATAAAGGCAACAGCTTCTCTCTTCTGGACTTGGTTTCCTTTTAGACATTTTTGGATCAGGCCCTGGATTAAGGGAAGATTGGGAAAAAGTAAGGTCTGGATGTTTTCCCCTGGTTTGAGGCTGGCTCCTTTCTGTCATTCCAGAATGACAGAGAAAAGTCCTTCCGACCACCCACGCTCATGCCACATCTTCTCAACCCACCTTCTTTATGTCCCTGATGGTCATATTCTTGATATTTCTACCCCCCACTAGAGTGTAAACTCCCTGAGTGCACAGACTTCCTGTTCCTTTCTCTGTGGTTAGATAGATATTTACCTTAACCTGACATGCAGTAGTTACTTAATAAATATTCCACAAAAGATTAGTTGGTTTCTCAGAATGTGGCTCTTAGACCACTTATAGGTTATTCTCAGAATGCAACCTCTTGGACCTTTAGAATCAATCAGTCTCCAGAGATGAGCCCAGAAGTCTGCAATTTTAATAAACTCCACTTAATTCTTCCTCCCCCTGCCAAAAAAAAAGGAAGGGAAGGATTTCCTTTCTCTATGGACTTTGATAAATATTTTCATCATGGAAATTAACCTATAAATGACAGACCATAGGAATGGTAGCATGGATAACAGTGTCCTGTGCTCCAACATACATCTCTAGGGCAGCCAGGGACATATTCCTTGGAATTTCAAAGGATAAATTTCATATGGATTATGGAAATATATTCTTTTTATTTTATATAAGTTGAATTATATACTACAAATTTCACATATTAATTGTATAAAATAGACTGTGACAGACCTGTTTATGGGGATCCACTCAATGTATATAAATGGAAAACTTCTATAATCTAGGCACAAAATAAAATAAGGTACACAACTGTGTCAAATAAATCTCTGGATCAGAACTTAGGCAAAGACCTGGATATCAGAATTGTTGAGTTGTGTGATTTGTTGCCTTACATGATAGGATAAGTTGTTTCTGGGCAATGAAAACAGTAAAGAAATCAATCTCCTACTTTTTGCCCTAGGTCTATCAGATTTCTCATCTCTACAAGCTGCTGACCAGCATCTCATCCCCTGGGAAGAAGGGGAACCTCAGAGGCTGTGCTTGGTCAAATGCATCCTTGTCAAAGGTGTTCTAGTAGCCTTTTGATGTTTGATATGGCTTGTGGATAGAACTCGTTGTTGCTTGTGAGTTCCATTTCTGTCATTAACTTTCTTTTATAAATCATCATCATTATCTTCATCTCCTCTAACTTCTGCTCATTTCTCTCCTCCTCCTCCTCCTCCTCCTCCTCCTCCTCCTCCTCCTCCTCCTCCTCCTTCTCCTTCTCCTTCTTAGTGGTAGTCTTTTTAAATTTGGGTCAAAGACATTGTGACCTCGGGTAAATTGCTTAATCTCTTGAAACCCCAGTTTCTCTTGAAACCTCATGTATAAAACTGATAACAACAGTAGTTCCCTTAAAGATGTTTTTTTGTGTGTGTGTGTGAGATACAAGTGATATAGGATCCTTAGTAGAAGAGTAAGGACAGGGAAATTGCTTAGTTTGCTGTTATTATTAATGACAATAAACTATCACTTTCCACATAATATATCAATATATTTCCATATCAATAAATATTCACTGGTATGATTTTTAAGGTTGCATAGCTTTCCATTGTATAGCTACCCTATGGTTTATTAGTAATTAAATACTGTGATTCTTTTTGATTGACCACAACACTTCCAGCTAAAATTTGTTGGTTAAATATAAGTGTCTACTTTCATTCTCTCCTAAAACCCTCCCAAAACTACAATGAATGAATTCATGGAATAGGAATGATAGGAGTGGAAACAAAAATAAGAAAATTATGGAAGCAGAAAAGCAGATAATTTAGAAGACCCGATAAAACTGACTGTCAAATGAGTGGCAGGAAAAGCCAAGAAGTAAACCTTTCTACACCTTGGAACTTCCTTAGGCTTAGGAATTGGCAACTATAAAATAGGTCTGGTCATTGGGATGAAAATAGATGCTAAAATAAAAAAAGATTGCTTGAAAGTCTGTTTGAGAAGTTTCTGACATCACACTCTCCACTGCCAGAAACTGTCCTTCTGCCACCCTTGAGAGAGACGGAAGGTTTCTTCCTCAGAGAGTAAAACTGGGGCTCACCAGGGACATCAGGCACCTTTAAAGCTGGAGGTTTCTCACTGAAACATGAAACATCCCTTGAGATACAATGGATGCTGAGTTCCCGAGGGTTCTGGTCCACTCCCTCAGGAATCTGACAGACCCAGAAGGAATGCCTTTGGGAAACACTCTGCTACCGGAATTCTCTCCTTTCATCCACTCAGCAGACCAATCTGCAGCAAAGCACTCGGCTGTCAGTCCCCACTTAAATGATCACAGTCTTTCTCTCTTTACTCTTAATGTAGCTCAGCAACCAAGTATCACCAGAGATCTGAGGAATGCCCTTACTATGAGAGAGGGAGCTGAAACCAAACAGGGGAAAACAAATTACTGAACTACCCAGAGAGAGGAAATTTAAAAAAACAAACAAACAAAAGAAACTGGTATTAATACTCTAAACCTTGAGAGAACAGGGGCAAAGAAAAAGAAACAGTCATAAAGCAAAAATAATCTCTTGAAAATTAATAATATTCAGTGAAAAAACTCAGTAGAAGGGTTGAAATATACATTGAGAAAAATTCACAGAAGGTATGACAACAAAAAAAGAAGAAACGTAAACAAGAGGAGAAAAGATAGTTTATAGACAATGATTTGGTGGGAATATTTAAAGAGGATATTTTAAATCATAGAAACCAGCAGAATTTGGAGCTTGAGATAACATCAGAGAAGAATTCAAATTTTTGAGTCAAATTTTTGATTTACAGTGCCAGACCCTTAAGACAGACACCAGTACGAAATTACTAGTGATCTAATTTTTTTAAAAAAGTTTTATGCCTAGCACCAACAACATGAAAAAATGTTACGTGAGGTTTATTGGCAAGTCATAATATCAGTACATTACTTTTTGATCAAAATAGAAAAAGCATAAGCTAGAAACATGAACTGGTACAAAGAACATCCTCTTTATGTAAGTGTCTCCATTTAGCCTTCATAAGCTCACACAGGACAAGGTTGGGTGAACTCTCAGCTCAAATGGCTACTTCTACAATAACAACCGTGATTCAGCAAAGGAAATTGTTTAACCACCAGGTTTAATTTTCTTTTATCTTTATTTCTAGTACTGCTAAAATTCATTTGGAAAGTCCTTAAGGTTCCATGTATTATAAGGTGCTGAAATTCATTTTGACAAGGTCATATTTATCCTAAAATGAAATAGAGAATTGAGATATTTAAGAAATCTTAGCATTTCATTTCCCTTAAAATATGCAGGTAATTGAGACAAATGTGTTTTTGAAGTTATCCTGCTTTATTTTACTTCTAGGCTGAATCTATGTCTATACCCCAGGATAACATAAAGAGCAGGAAATGATTAAGTACATTTGATTCATGTATCTCAGCAGATAACCAATGATACCCAATAGAATCAACTAGAATCTTCCATTCCACACCAATTAAATCACAACCTGGGAGTTTAGGACCCCGGCAACAGTATTAAAAAGCTATTAAATGATTATAGTATGCAGCAGAAAATTATAATCACTGATAAAGATAATCAAATATACAATTCAGGTAAAATATACTTTGAAAAATTGGTAATTGAAAAATACCTGCTTTTTGGAGGCTGTCTAGATATAGGGTTCAAATTGGTGACCATACTTGGTTAATTATTTCATATCTGGCACTAGGCTTTTGTGTTTGTGTGTGTGTGTGTGTGTGTGTATTTTCCTAGCATTTAGGTGCAGTAAGTCAGGAGTTGGAGCAGGAAGTGAAAGTTGATAAAATTCTTGGAGTGCCTGACTAGCTTAGGAAAAAACCCGTCAATAAAAAAGTACTATTTCTATTGTGGAGAACAATAATTCTACATCTAGTTTTGTATCTTCATAGGAAGAACTTTAAAACCTACTGTCAGGGTACTGAATGTGGATGAACATTGATAAGCTCCAGAAACAATCATGGCTCTTTGAGGCCTTGTGAGATGGTGAGAGCCCTCCAGTGATGTGAGGAAATGGTTACTTGAACCTAAAGATTAGCTTCCTAATTGGATCCAGAGAAGATATACATGTGTTAGTCTTTGAGTAATTACTCTGTTTTTTCTCCCTAAGTTCAGTGGTATTATTATCTCCGAAGAGATAATAATAGAGTTAGCCTAACAGTGGAAAATAACCTCAGGCAATCTATTTGAGATGGAGAAGGAGGAGGAGGAGGAGAAGGAGGAGGAGGAGGAAGAGAAGGAGGAGGAGGAGGAGGAAGAAGAGGAGGAGGAGGAGGAAAGAAATGAGCAGAAGTTAGAGAAGATGAAGAGAATGATGATGATTAAAAAAAAGAAACTTAATGGAAGAAGAGGAGAAGAAGGAGTAGACCATGAAGTGGAATTGGAAGAGGAAGAGAAGCAGTAAGGGTAGAAGCAAATGTTAGTTGAGGGCCTCTCAGAGTGTTTCTCATAGCCTTGAAGGGTATTTGTTGAAGTTCGTAGATTCTTCGGTCACGCACCATCTCAGAATGTAAAGGGGTTAGTTCTTAGGAATATGTATTTTAAGTAAGCACCCCAGGTACATGTTATGTGTAACAAACTATTTGAAAATTATTGCCATACAATATTTGGGGCAAGAATGCCAAGTTTACAAAAACAACAAAAGACAGTAATATTTTAAAGTAAGATAAACCTAGGGAATGTTGCTCCTAGAATTAATTTGAAGACATGGACAGTTCTCTTTGATGCAAAGCCATGAAAATAACAAGAAAAGATAGTCTAATAGTCATACAGCTAACCTTTATTGAGCCCTGACCATGCATTGAGCCCTATTTGAAGGGATTTATA